GGAGAGCTCGCACGCACTTTGTTTTTATACACACACACACACACACACACACACACACACATACATACATACATTATATATATATATATATATACACACACACACACACACACAAGCATTAAATTAAAAAAACAATGAATATCAAACATTAATATTAACATTTATAAACATTAATAAATTAGTTATAATAATTAATGTACAATACAAACGTTTATGTACAAAAATAATGTATTTACAAAGTAAAAATAAAAGTTAAAATAAGCAAATTATAAAGGAAACGTCGGTATGACAACTTCTTTACATGCATTTTGACTGCTCTCAGCACCCGTACCGTAAGTGCACAATTACACGCGCAAGCCCCAAAAAAAGTGCGTCTGGCTTGACCGTGTATTTTCAAAGCGCGGCTGGCTTGACCGCAGTCTGTCACTGCCGCGTTCTCTATCTGAATATCCAGGCATGCTGTAACTTGTAATGGCAAGTCAGACAATATAAAAATAACGAATCCGATGTTGGTCTGTGCAGAGCCGGGAGAAAATGGCTGCTTAACTGCTTGACTGTGGAACACACACTATTTATTCACTCATACACTTATTTATCTAACACACATACTCAGTCTACATTTCAATTTGCACATAATATACCTGTACATACAACTGTCTATTGTTATATACCTGTACATACAATTGTCGATTTGTATATTTTTTATTCCTTATTTTACTTGTTCTATTTTTTATTTTTTATTTAAATTTTTTATTATCTGTGTTTTTTGTTCTGTCACTGTCATTCTGTCACACTGTGGAAGCTTCTGTCACGAAAACAAATTCCTCGTTTTTGTTTTGTTCTGTCACTGTCATTCTGTTACACTGTGGAAGCTTCTGTCACGAAAACAAATTCCTCGTATGTGTAAACATACCTGGCAATAAAGCTCATTCTGATTCTGATTAAATGCTGCTTGTTCGCGTGCAAGTAATATCAATGCTCATTAGAGGCATCGCTTTTTATTTAGGCTTTGCCTGCTTATCGTCATATTAAAGCATAACGTACTAAACTAATAGAAACAACGCACGAATACAGTCTTTTCTCTATAAAATACGCAGCATACTCTGAATATTGAGGAACTATTTTCATGAACGCAGCACATGGGTGTAAGGATAAATATAACTTGAGAGAGAGAGGTTGTTGGTCTTATTACGTCAGCAATGTTTTTCTGAAAAATATCCGATTTTCCTCTTTCTATGTTTTTATTTCAATAACATGCATAAGTGTATAATTTAAATTCTAATTATTTCAGGTACTATAAGCTATTCAACATCATTGCGCTTGCTTTAGTTTCAGGTTTAGTTAGGTTCGGCCATCCGCATACGTCATTAGAATCTCAGCCAATCAGAGCGCGATCGAGTTTTAAACCGCTGTTGCTGTTCAAGTTCATTATCACATTAACTTCTCTGTCAGTTTATCTTCCTCATCAACTGAAGGGGTTAAGTTAGTAAACTGAATTAAAGTCTTGTCTTTAAGCGTAAAACCTGCTCGATGGGACCCGAAGAGAGGGGTGAGTTTGTGTTGCTGAGGTTTATATGTGTATGTGTTAGCCGCAAGCTAGGTAGTTTGAAGAGCTAAGTCATTGTTTACATGTTATGGCTGTGTAGTCCAATGGTGTAAACCACCTTCAAACGAACACTTAGTTAAAATACAGTCTGCAAACTGTAATTTAGTATTAGACCCAGGGTTGGAAAGAATTGATATCCGGTCAATCTAACGTTACTGGACAAAGTTTGGAACATGAAGTATGAAACATTTCTTTATAACGTTACTTGTAAAAAGATAATCGGTTAAATGATGTTAAATCAAATAATTCGTTTCGAAAAGTATTATCATAGATTGAAACAAGCAGACTTTACACTTGACTTCTTTTCTTGAAAGTTGAGTTGGTAAAGATAAAGTTACTATCTTTGTCTTAGAAGGTCGAACGGCGCGATGGAGAGCGCGAAAGATAATCGTGTGTGTTCATAATATTCATCTGTGTGTTCATGACTTGTCTTTGTGTATTAATGTTGTATGTATTGATGCAGCAAAACTCCTGCCTCTGACTAGAAATTCCAAAATTCCAAATAATCTAGAACCTTAAGTACATTATATCAAACTGTATGCTTGGTTTCACACCAGGTTTAGCATTCGAGTAGTAAGTTAGGGGTGAGATGATATTTTCATTGCTTAAACCCTGTGTTTGAATTGTCTCATGTACTGTTTTTGTGTAGATTGGGTGGACATGGCAAACGATGTTTTGTTGAAATGTCACATTAACCTGAGGCTGGAAAGGATCTCGGAGTGTGATGCAAATGTGTTTGTGGCTTTGTATGAGGCGATCTTGGGAGAGAAAGTTCCAGGTATTCACATTGCTTCAGCCTTATGCAAATATGTGTCTGACAGGTTTTGTGTTTTTGCACTGCAACAATAAGAATGAAAACATTTCAGGTGCTAGTGGTGCATTATGTAATATTATGTACATTCATCATGTACTCGTCTCTCTTTCTCCCTCACGTTATACAATGGGTGTAAAAAGTCAGTGCAGTTAAAAAAAAATCACAGCTTTTTGAGATGTAAAAATAAATCCATGTAAAATAATGTAGTATTGAAACAAACAAATTTCATATAACAAACAAATAAAAACCTAAAATTACATAGTTACAGAAATGTGCATACTCTTTTATAATGGGGTGTGTTGTTCTGTTTGAAATTAACCAATCATGTTCAAGCACTTACTGAAAAGTAATCATTATCCTCTGGTCATTTAAGTGATGCTAATTAACCTTGAATAAAAATCAGCTGTTTCTGTAGGATTTTCTTAGCATCTTCTTGGTCCATCTTATTGCTGAAGCTATAGAGTGTTTTCACGACACGTCATCAATCCGGAAGTTGGCCATATTGGCAGCACTGAATGTAAACAATGCCATTAAAGGCAGAGTGAGTGATTTCTGGTAGCCAATGTTGATATTTGAAATCACCAAAACAAACACGCCTCTACCCCAAAAGGGTCTTGCCCCTATTTTGATAGCTCCGCCCCACATATACGTACGCAACCCAGGCAACGATTAGTTCTGTGAAACAAAGCAAAACCAATGTTACACCGTGTCTACGGACGTGAGCGGCACGGTGCAACAAATCCCGACAGAAAACTGCTGCCGGGTTCTATTTATGACGTGCTGACACAAATTTCAAATGGTTTTCAACGGTCGTTTGAGTCCAGTGTAGGCAGACTTTAGCTGTTGTAGACACGGTGTTACTCACCTATTGAGAAGAAACAAAGCAACCTCGGCGTCCGATCGCAGGCCTCCGCTCCTTGAGTTCTCTCCAGCGCTGGAAAGCTGATACGATATTTACACGTGTCCTACTTCTTGCCTTATCGTTCCGCATACGTTTTCCTCTTTTGTTTTTTATCCGCCATCTCTATCTCTCTGTCGCTCGGCTCGGCTAATGTCCGTCCCATGCACTGAACGCGCTCTCATTCACATCACGAGTAGACACGCCCCTTATTGCTGATTGGCTACAAGTTTGTTTTGCGATTCGGCCCGAATCAGTTTTATAAAGTGTTTTTGAAAAATCACTTACTATGCCTTTAAACCGAACGGAACTCGCAAATTTAGCTGATTATTGTTGCTCAAAATGGTCAATTATTGACGTGTTTTGGGCTGTAGTAATCGGTCGGACCGGGAAAAACATATGCAGTACTATAAACTGCCAAAAGTTATAACAAATCAAGGAGAAAAGTGCAAAAAAAAAAAACTGTCTGAGGAATGACGTGAAAGTGAAAGTCGTGACATTTGCCAAGTATGGTAACCCATACTCGTAATTTGTGCTCTGCATTTAAGCCATCCAATTGCGCACACACAGCAGTGTGTCGTGAACACACACACCCGGGGCAGTGGGCAGCCATTTGCTCCAATGCCCGGAGAGCAAAGAGAGCGCTGTACATTCACTTCCCCACCTACAACTAGGGCTGGGCGATATGACCAAAATCTTATTTCACGGCATTCACTCACTTTATTTATAGAGCACTTTACAACTGCACATGCAGACCAAAGTGCTGTACATTCAAAAAAAAAAAAAACACTTCATTAAAACACACGACTTAAAACAACACAGATCCTACTAACAACAAAGACTAGCCCACCCTCTCAAAGGTTAAAGACAAGAAGTAGTTTTTGACTTCAACTTTAAAAACATTCAAAGATGAGACTTCTCTAAGTTCCTGAGGAAGACTATTCCAGAGCTTCGGCCCCGCAACAGCAAAGGCCTGATCCCCTTTTAACTTTAAATGAGTACGAGGGACAGTAAGCAATAACTTATTATTGGATCTTAGAGACCTAGGTGCTTGACGAACAGCAACGAGCTCAGACACGTAAGCAGGGGCCAACCCATGCACTGCTTTAAAAACATACAAAAGCGTTTTATATTTTATCCTGTAGTTCACTGGTAGCCACTTGAGAGAAGCTAAAATAGGAGAGATATGATGACTTTTCTTAGCACCCACTAGCAGCCTAGCTGCTGCATTCTGAACTAATTGCAAGCGTGAGATAGTGGTCTGACAGGACTCCACATACAACACATTGCAATAATCCAAACGAGACAAAACAAAGGCATTAATAACCTTCTCTAAGTCTTTTCTTGACAGAATAGGCTTTAGTGTAGTAGTAAGTCTTTACTACAGCATTAATCTACTTGTCAAATTTCAGCTCTGGGTCAAACACCACACCTAAGTTCCTTATTTGGTCACGGCA